GCAGGAGGGGAGGGTACCCCTGCAACTCCGCAGGAAGGGGCCGTGGTCTGGGATCCCAGGCCTCAAGTGTGGGACACGCACACACAAACACACACCCAACACGCCGTCCGCAGCAGCGCTCGGACGCGCACACGGACACACAAGCTCCGTATACACGCATTCGGATACGCGAACACGCACACACCGAAAGACGCCAGACTCCGAACACACCCAGAGCGCGCGATCGCACAGAGGACAGGAGCGCGGAGACACACGGACACTGTCTTACACACCCGCGCACACACGGCGGGCCCGGCCGGCCGGGAGGCCGCACGAAGTTGCGGACTGGACCAAGGGAGTGTCCCAGGAGACCCCGGCGTCCAAGGCGCGTCCTGCGCCCGCGGGAGGGGCGCCGTCCCGCAGCGGCCAGCCAGGCCCTGCCCGCGCCCCGACGCCGCAGCCCGCGCGCAGCCCCCGCCCGCCGCCCCCGAGCCGCGCGCCCGGCCCGCAGGAGCGCCCGCGCGCCGCCCCCGCGAGCCCCGCCGGCCCGGGCGCCCCGCAGCCCCGGCGCCGCCTCGGATCTGCCGCCCGCCAGCGCCGCGCGGAACTTGCGAAACAACAAACAGCCCGACAGGCCGGAGTCGGCGGCCGCGGGCCCGCTCCTCCCCCCAGCCTCGGGCCCTGCCCGACCCGGGAGCCCAGGGGGCGCCGCCGCGACAACTTGTTCCGGCCCGGCGCGCCACACACGCGCACACGCACGCACACACACACGTCCTGCCACCGCCCCCTCGGGCGGCCCGGCCCCGGGCACACACTCGACCGCGGCCCAGGCGCGCACCACACTCGCAACATTCCTGGACGCGCAGCCGGCACACACGGACACACTCACACACACTCACATCCGCTCCAGACTCGCTCCCACACACGCATTCCCGACACACTTGGCATTCACACGGACCCACGCAGCCCCGGCGGCGCACACCACAAACCCCAGACACTCCCACACGTACACAGCGCGCGGACACACACGTTCCGGACCCATTCCCACGCCGTCACACGCGATCTCACAAGCACACACCACACACGCTTCCTCGGATGCACACTCAGGCAGGATCCACGGAGCACCCCCGACCACATGCGTAACACAACACACAACCCATTCTCAGACACACAAACAGCACTCCTGGCCACTGCATACAAAATGCAAACAAATGCAACACATTAGCAGATACAACTCCAGCCACACAACCAAACTCAGATGCACACACTACACACAAATCACCTACTTGGCCACACAAACACTACACACTGGCAGACACACAAGAGACAGCGCACACCCAACGCCTCGAGGCACACACATTCACCCCAACACACTCGCGCACACACAAGACAGCTCCTTCTCTTGCACACGGAACTCACGGACACACAACATTCGCAGGCACACAACACCCGGGGCACACAACTGCACATCCTACACTCAGACACACACAGGGAGCCCGCTCACAACGCCCGGCCTCCCGACACTCACACTTTCTTCCGAGCTACGCCACGGGCCCCGGGGCTCGGCGGGGCAAGCTGGGTCCGACCGCCGTGCGCTTACCTGCCGGAGTCTCGGTCTCGGGCGCGCAGAGCTGGAAGGTGAGCGCCAGGACGAGCGCCTGGGCGCGGGCCATGGCGGGAGCGCCGCCGCCTGTCCCGGGGCCCGGCGCGGGGGGCGCCGCCGCCGGAGCCCGAGCCGAGCCCGAGGCGAGCCGGAGCCGGAGCGGAGCAGCGCGGCGCGGAGCGGGACTGGCGCCGAGTCCAGAGCGGGAGCCGGAGCGAGCGGGGCGCTGACGTCAGGTCCCGCCGCGCGTTCGGCGGTCTCGGGGCGCCCCCTGCTGGCGGTGGCGGGTGCTGCTGCGGGTCCGGTCGCCCGCCGACCCGGCGCGCCCCTCCCCCACTCCCGCATCCCCGCCGGAGGCCCCGACGCCTCTGCACTGACAGGCACCAACATTCCAAGCGAACACACTCATTGCCCACACCTAGGTCCCGCATAGCGCTCTCAGGGACAGTGACCCAGGGACACACTGCCTGTCTGTCCCATCTGATGCTTGAATCCCTTCTACCTTGGCCCCTCCAAATGGGCATTCATACATATCTCCAAGGACAGGGCTCTCATCGCGTATCAAAAGCAGTTGTTGCAGCTTTGGAAAGGCCGGCATTTAGAAAGTTCTTCATTTTCATGATGTGCAGTCTGTCTCCCTCACCAGCACTCACTGGTCCTACTCTATCTATCCCCTGGACACACGAGTTAGGTATATTTGGGCCTCTACCCAATACAAGCCCTTGCGCAATTATCTGCAAACTAGTTGTCCATTACTATGTAAGACCAGGCACCTTGTATGTGTTTTACCCACATGGAATCATTTCATCTTCATCATAACCTTATTAGATATGTACTACTATATTCCCATAACACAGTTGAGAAAATTGAGGCACAATGAGAGAGTGACTTTTCCAAGGTTGGACTTTTTTTGCAGCAGCACCAACATTTGAATCCAGGTTTTCTGGCTTGAATTGAATAGGGGCTGAGACCTGGAAACCCATTCATTCAACAAATACTTATTAGATACTGATTCAATTATTCAGCAATTACTAGGTTGGGCGAGGTGGCTCACACCTATAATCCCAGTAGATTGGGAGGCCCAAGTGGGACAATTACTTGAGACCAAGAGTTTGAGGCCAGCCTGGTCAACATCAGCCAGAACTCATCTCTACAAAAATAAGAAAAAATTAGCCAGGTGTTCTAGCTACTTGGGAGGCTGAGGCAAGAGGATGGCTTGAGCCCAGGAGTTGGAAGCTGCAGTGAGCTACGATTGCATCACTGCACTCCAGCTTGAGCAACAGAGCAAGACTCTGTCTCAAAAAAAAAAAAAAAAAGATTACTATAGGCCAGGTGGAGATACAAAACAGATAAAAAATCAGATGGGGTGGCTCACACCTGTAATCCTGGTACTTTGAGAAACCAAAGCAAGAGAATTGCTTAAGGCCAGGAATTCAGAACAGCCAGCACAAGAACAAGACCCTATCTCTACAAAAACATAGAAAAATTAGTTCAGTGTGGTGGTGCGCACCTGTATTCCCAGCTACTTCAGAGGCTGAGGCAGGAGAATCACCTGGGAATTTAAGGTTGCTGTGAGCTAGGCTGATGTCATTGCACTCCAGCCTACGCAACAGAGTGACACTCAAAAAATAAAAATCCCTACCCTCACAGAGCTTACATGCCAGTGGAAAGACAAAAACAATAAATAACAACAACAACAAAAAGCAAATCCTCTGTTTATATCCCTTATCATGTCTCATACACCAGAGAATTTAAGGGGAAAAAACAGTGAGGGGGACAGGGATTGTTGCAGTTTTAAACAGAGGACCTGCTATATGATGTATTCATTATTTGTCCCCACCTCTAGCAATGAACTCCCTTAGGGACTTTAACGAAGGACTTCATCTTATATCCAGTGCCTGGTATCTGGCAGGCAGTTGGTGCTCAAAAAATATTGAATGAATGAATGAATGAATGAATACAGACATTGTCCTTGCCTTCATGAAGCTTACTATCTAGCAGATGGCATGTCCATGAACATATAATCACAATCTTTAACAAGTGCAGTCTGAAAGACATGGGTGGCATGCTATGATGGAGAATGTGGGGGAGAGGTGTCTACTTTCGATAAGGTGGTCTAAGAGGGCTTCACTGAGGAAGTGACACGGTGACATTTGAGCTGAGACCTGAAGTATGAGAAAGAGCCAGACTCATGCAAATTGGTGGGGAGGAACATTGCAGGGAGAGGTGACAGCCTGTACAAAGGCAGGAGCTGGTGGGTTTGAGGAGCCACAAGGAGGCCAGGGTGGCTGAATGGGGTGAGCTTGGGGAGAGGGGAGCCAGGTGCCACTGGAGAGGTGGGCAGGGCCTGCAGGTCACACAAGAAACTACAGGCAAGGAAGGGGCTTTGGGTTACAGCCTAAGACCAAGGGGAAGCCATTGGAGCATGAGGCAGAAGAGTAATAAGTTCTGATCTCTGATTTGTTTAAAGTCCCCCAAGCAGCCGAGTGGAGAACAGAGGGCAGAGGCAGGGACCCCCACAGGCAAATGGGCCAGGCAGAGCCTGGGAGTTCAAGGTATACCTAGGCCCTCCACTCCCAGCTGGCCTCACACTGATATCGCCACACCTAGAATCTGCCCTGGGGCTGAGGAGGCTGAGCTGAAGGTTCCTCAGCTCCTGGGCTCTTCTCTTGTGAGTGCTGATGAGCTCCAGGCTGAGATGGGGAAGGGGCTAAAGGACACAGAGCAGGCAAAGACCAGAGGCAGAGAATTAAACAGAGAGGCAGTCACAGGAGGAGAGAGACAGAAGCAAGAAAAGAGTGATGAGGAAGACACCAAGATAGACAGATGCTGGAGCAGACATGATCCAGAGGGGGAGCCCCAGATAAAAGGAGGTTCAAGGACAGAAAACCAGTGAACAGTAAAAACAATCAAGGCTGCTTTTTGCAAAGGACACTTGAGGGAGCCTCATGACAGGAGTTGACCACTAGTCCCATTTTATGGATGTGGCAACTGAGGCTCAGAGAACATAAGGCACTTGCCTAAGGTCACACAACTAGTAAATAGTGGACCCAGGACTTGAACTCAGGTCTGAATGATTCCACATCCCTTTACTCTTTGTGCAGGGAAAGATGGCAGAGACTGCAACGGAGGGAGAAAGAGAGTACACGCAACAGGTGGACAGGTGAAAAGAGAACATTCTGCTTTACTTCAAAAAGACCACAAACTTCTATAATCCTTGGGAAGGAAGGAAGAAGGAAAGTCCTGGCCTGGAGTGACCAGCCCAAATCTAGGGAAAAGGAGATGCAGCACAGACAGTGCCAGGCCATGAGGAAATTCAATTCCCTGCAACTCATGGAATATTTATGACACCTCCCCTGTGCCAGGCCTCATATTGAGTGCTGGTGTCATGGAGATGAACCAAACACAGCTCCACTCTTGCCTGGAGGGGAAAGTGGGCACATAAATAACTAAGAGACCATGTGCTAAAGGCCATAACACCAGCCCAGAGAAAACACAAAGGCAGTAGCAGTTTACTCAACCTAGGGGGTTGGGAAACAACATCAAAGAAATGATATCTGAACCTGAAGTTTCCCAGGTGAGATAAGGCAGGGAAGAGCATTTTAGGCAGAAGGAACAGCCTGAATAAAGGCTTAAGACCAAGAAGTGCTGGGAAAGGTGGGTATCAGGTATGGTTGGATCATAGGCTATGCACAGTCCAACAGTAGAAGATAAAGCTGGGAAGACAGGGTGGGAGTCAAGAGTGCAAAGGGTCTTGAATGCAAGGTCAGGACAATTAGACTTGAACCCTTCAATCAGTGGCTCTCAAATGATGGCCTGGACTCTAAGTGAGGGCTATTGAGATGCACGTAGGGGAGCAAAATCCAGCCCCAAGGAGGAAGACTTGCTGGGTGATTCTTCAGGCATCCTGGCTGGGCCGCCCAAGAATTCAGAAGAGCCAATTTGGTAGAGAAGATATTGTCAGCAGCTCAATGTTACCTAGTAAATCTTACAACTTTGGGGGGGGGGGTTATTTTGTACCTCTCAGCACAAGTAGGCCTGTGTGTCATTGTGAAAATAGGTGAGTAAAACTGGTTATTGCATGTGTGCGTGCACATGTATGCTTGCACATGACTGTGGGACCATGTCCTTCCCCCACCGCGGGACACTAACTTTCTCTAATAATAAAAACAAGTACAAATATTTATTGAGCCCATACTGACCCAGAGCCTAGTCTGTTTTGTATGTGATGTTTCTCATTTAATCTTCACAATAACCCCCTGATAATATTTCTCAAATGCTTCCATGTGCCAAGCATTATACTAAATGCTTGAAGTGAATAATATTTTGCTTGATCCTCACAACAACCTAGAAACAGATAACTAGTATTCCCTGAATTTTAAGCATAAGGAAATAAAGACACAGTAACGCCAAGTGACTTGTCCAAAATCAAATAATTGGAAAATGGCAGAGCCAGGACTCAGAGCCAGGTGTGCTGGAGTCCAGCTCACACACCCTTACTCACAGTACTTTGCTGTACTCTCTTCCTGAGAGGAAAGCTCTGACATGGCAAGTATTGGGTCAGTAAAATCCGGCCAAAGGAACTCTTCCTTATCCTTCAAAGCCCCTGGCTCAGCATCTTTCAAAGCTTGTTGCGTGGGCCACCTGCATCAGAATATTTTCGGGAGCTTGTAAGGATGTAGATTCTGGGAACCCCCACCCCACGAGATTCTAATTCAGTAGGTCTGAGATGGGACCTTGGATTATTTTTATGCACACAGAAGATTTTGAGTCACAGGGCTGGCTCCTACGGCACCTCCTCCAAAATCCCCGGCCTTCACCCCCACCCCCACACCAGAGCACCTCTCTTCTTGAGACTACAGCAGTGCACTCTGGCATGTGCTAACGTTCAACTGGGGTTTTAGTTATTTTCATATCTTCCCTATACCAAAAATAAGATCTAGCTTCTTTACAGGGCTACATCTTTTTACAAAGCCTTTCCAGTGTCCCACTTAATCCCTTTCTACACCATGAGCATTCTGAGAGGGGCCCCTGCTCCTTATGATTCCTACCTCATAGCTGAACACACTTAGCTTTTTTTTACAATGTATTCTACCATCCAAGATAACATTCTTCTATTGCTTCATCCAAGCCTCACAACAATCTGGAAGGAGGTATATTGTCCCCATTGTGGCGATGAGAAAACAAAATCGGAGTTTCACTTGCTCAAGGTGGCCAAGCTAAGAAGCGGCAGGGCTATGATTTGAACCTACGTCTTCTGACTCTACGTCCCGTACTCCTGCCTCCGTATCCCCGTACATCTGCTTTCCCCAGTGTAGGGAAGTAGTTTGCCTCCCTATGCTGTAACAGCGTAGTGGAGATTAAATGAGACGATGCCTTAAAGGGCCTGGCTCAGAAACCATTCAATAAAGGGTGGAAGAAGGGGAAACTCAGGCCAGGGGAGAGTAAATGACTTTCCCCAAATCAAACAGCAAACTATGAGCTGCAGACACAGCTTTAGGCCAGTCCCATACTCTCCTTGCTGGGGGAGCTGCTTTGGCGGCCTCGCAAGCCCCGCACCTCCCTCCAGTCCCTCCGCTGCCCAACCCCAGCACCCCACACCGTCTCCCCGGGCGCCACCGCGTGGGCAGCAAAGGCAAGAAACAGCCCTTTAAAAAGAGCATGGGGCGTGGTCACGCGGCGGGGCAGGGCGGGGCGAGGCGCCGGCGCGCGGGCGCCGGAAGATGACGTACCGGGGCGTCAGGCTCTTGTTGACTGGAGAGAGCATGTGGGTCTCTGGCTCAATGTCAGGGGCGCGAACCCCGGCCAGGCTGCTGCGGACTGTGCTCCCAGCTTCGGGCCGCCATGGGCCTGCCGCCTCCTCCTACTCCGCATCCGCCGAGCCCTCCCGGGTCCGGGCGCTCGTCTATGGGCACCACGGGGATCCAGCCAAGGTCGTCGAGTAAGAGACAGCGCGGAAACCGGGAAAGGGGACTAGGGTTCCTGAAGGGGTTTAAGTCCGGCTGTGGAGTGGGGAGGGAGGGACAGGGTCCGAGGAAGGGGACAAAGGATAGCAAGACCAAAACTGAAGCCCAGGGCGCTTTTGGTAGCTCAGAAAGTCAGTGCTTCGAGGTAGCAGGAGACACGAGAGGGTAATAATGGCTGACATCTATTGATTGAGTATGGTGTGTCAGGCAATCCCTTTTTTAAATGGGTGCTCTCATTTAATTGTCACAACAATGTGGGGTAGTAACTTGATTAATCCCCATTTTGCAGATGAGAAAACTGAGGCATAAGAGAGGTAAAAATCACTCACCTGAGGTCACACAGCCAGTAAGTGACACAGTTGGATTTGAATGCATGTCTGACCGACTGATCTGCCTAAGTTATTTCCCTCTATTATTTTTTGGAGGGACTTTTCAAAATACTTTTACGTCCACTTGGATCTTCACTTCTCAGTAAAGGTCATAGATCACTGTTTCTGTTTTACAGAGGGAAGGGTACTTTACTTGTCCAAAGTGATTTGGCTAATAAGTGATTGCAACAGGAACTGGAATCCGTGGCTTCGGACTCCTATCTCATGTGAATTCCCCTCGACTGCACGGTGTATGCATCTTGGCCTAGTTTTGTAAAAAGCTGTTTTAGGAGTCCACTTGCTCAAGACTTCTTGAGTGTCACTCCGGGTCAAAAAAAAAAAAGCTGTTTTGGAGCCATACAGACCTAAGTATCTGTATTAGGTCGAATACAGGCTTAGCCTCTTAGTAGTTGTTTCATCTTGGGCAAGTCACTCAACCTCTCTGAGTCCTTATTACTTTTATGATTATGCCCTCTTCCTAAAATTCTATTGGATCTTAATTCATGAATTTTGCATGTGCCTGATTAAAAAAAAGACAGCCTCTTTTGTCTCCTTGTGTGGAATCCTAGTAATTTCCCTGAAGTTTAAACCATGATACTTCTGGGAGGCCGAGGCGGACGGATCATTTGAGCTCAGGAGTTCGAAACCAACCTGAGCAAGAGCCAAGACCCCATCTCTACCATAAAAAGAAAATTATTGGCCAACTAATATATATATAAAAAATTAGCGGCATGGTGCGACATGCCTGTAGTCCAGCTACTCGGGAGGCTAGGGCAGGAGGATCGCTTTGAGCCCAGGAGTTTGAGGTTGCTGTGAGCAGGCTGAGCCACAGCATCACTCTAGCCTGGGCAACAAGTGAGACTCTGTCTCAAAAAAAAAAAACAAGATACTTATGCAAAGCATTCTATTCAACCTTGGCTTCACAGCTCAGTCACCTGTAGTGCTTTTATTTTATTTTTATTTATTTATTTTTTGAGACAGAGTCTCACTTTGTTGCACAGGCTAGAGTGAGTGCCATGGATTAGCTGCTCACAGCAACCTCAAACTCCTGGCTCAAGCAACTTACTGCCTCAGCCCCCGAGTAGCTGGCTACAGGCATGCGCCACCATGCCTGGCTTATTTTTTTTCTATATATATTAGTTGGCCAATTAATTTCTTTCTATTTATAGTAGAGATGAGGTCACACTCTTGCTCAGGCTGGGTTCAAACTCCTGACCTTGAGCAATCTGCCTGCCTCGGCCTCCCAGAGAGCTAGGATTACAGGCATGAGCCACCACACCCGGCCCTGTAGTGCTTTTAGAAACTACAGTATGTATTCCCAGGCCCCATCCCTGAGGTACTTAGTAGGTCTGAGATGACCTGGAGCACAGGTTTTAAAGCTCTTCCAGGTGACTCTGTTGCCCAGGCCAGGGTTGAGAACCATTTCCCAGTGGATACAGATTAGCAGGCAGGTAATAATTCTCCCTCTGCCCCAGAAGGGCAACTTTTCCCTTCTGACCCAGATTCAGGCAACTCCTTGTTCGCATATGGACTGAGGCCAAGACAGGATTCTCTTTGTAGTCATGTCTTAGGAGGTTAGGGTAACCACACTGTCACAGAAATCAGGTGTCTTTTTAAACATTGCAGTGACTGGGTATCTGGTCAGGTTTACACCAGGTAAGGTTATGGACTTACCCAGCGTCCTGAAGAGCATTCCACAACTGGTGTGGTTTGTGATGCTTGCATGTGGGCCAGAGCTCCTGGAAGCAAGAGGGAGGAGGAGGAGGAGCAATCTGCTAAGGTCTGAGAGGTTGCAGAACTCCTCCAAATGAGGCCCCCGGATCTCCCTGTTCATGTCAATGTTTTAAATGTCCCTATTTTCATTTCTGTTGACCCCAGACATTCCAGCTATTCTCTCATCTACTAAGCCATTTCCCTATCCCTCAGTTTCTTTCCCTTCCTTCCTAATGGATCCTCTAAATAAGTATGTGGACCTTTTTAATTTAAAGTATGAACTGCTGATCTAAATGAAGTAAGACTGAAGAATTGCAAAATTCTAGAATTTCAGAATTCACAACTCTGTCCCTTGTGCAGAGTTCTGTATTCTTTATCAGATATTCCCAAAACTCTGAGTGTCCTTCTCTTTCCTTTTTTTTTCTTGAAAGTCTCTTCAGATCTTTGCTTCTCTGGTCTTATGGTGAAATAGCTCTCATGTGTGTATACTTGCTGTGTAGCAAGCATTGGGCTAAGTTCTCCATATATATTTAGAATTTAAAATCAAACACAATCCAGTTTGGTCATTGTTATTCCCATTTTAAAATAAGGAACTGAGGCTCAAGAAGATTGAAAGGCATTTGTCCAAGATCATACAATGGGATGCCCCTTCTTTATTAAAACTTCTTGATACAAAGCTGGAATTGGTGGCTCACACCTGTAATCCCAGCACTTTGGGAGGCCGAGGCGGGAGGATCACTTGAGGCCAGGAGTTCGAGACCAGCCTAGATAACATAGCAAGACTCGTCCTCTACAAAATTTAAAATTCCAGGCATGGTGGTGCATGTCTGGTGGTCCTAGCTACTTGGGAGGCTCATTGCTTGAGCCCAGGAGTTGGAGGTTGCAGTGAGCTATGTCGGCCAGTGCACTCCAGCCTGGGCAACAGAGCAAGACTGTCTAAAAACTATAAATAAAAGTCTTTGATATAGACATAGGCCTGAAGAAACAATAACAATCATCTTAAATGTTTTTAGAGAATAAGATAGAGTTGAGGCCGGGCGCGGTGGCTCACGCCTGTAATCCTAGCTCTCTGGGAGGCCGAGGCGGGAGGATTGCTCAAGGTCAGGAGTTCGAAACCAGCCTGAGCAAGAGCGAGACCCCGTCTCTACTATAAATAGAACAAATAATTGGCCAACTAATATATATACAAAATAGCGGCATGGTGCGAATGCCTGTGTCCCAGCTACTGGGAGCTGAGTCAGGAGATGTTGAGCAGGAGTTTGAGGTTGCTGTGAGTAGTGACACCATGGCACTCTAGCCTGGGCACAAAGCGAGACTCTGTCTCATTAAAAAAAAAAAAGATAGAGTTGAAAAATTGAGAATAAGTTCAGAAAAGAAGGTACAATGATAGGTCATTCAGGCGACCCCAAGTTTCTACTCTGCAGGAAGGGCAGCACCCCCCTGGGGAAGATAGAAGAAATACTCCCCTATGTCTCCTCTCATTTTCAGGAACCTGAAGTTTTAATAAAACAGCATCCTGATCATCATGACTTTCTCACCTGCCTGCTGCTAGTACAAAATGAAACTAAGCTGAAAAACCCATAGACACATACTCAGTCTGCCTTAAGCCAGACAAAATTTGGGGGAGCAGGTGGTGGGGACCCAGGCTGTGCAGGTAGTAGGGCACTGTTTACTTTCAGGGGATTTCTTGTTACACTTGATGTTAGTGTTTAAAACCAAACACTCTGTGTAGACGACTAGGTTTTTAAACCAAAATTATAGTACTTTGGAAAAAAAATAGCATTTTGGTTTGGTGCTCTGATGAGAGCTCTTTATTATGGTCATGAATGAAGGGATTGGGAACAGAACTCATTGATTTAGTAAGTTAGCCAGCCTGTATTCTTTTAGGGCTTACTAAAGTACAAGCACTGAGGATGCAGAGATGAACAAATTGTGGTCATTGCTCTAAGGGAACTCACAGTCTAGTCCAGGAGATGGGCCACCACAGTCCAGGGGGTAAGTGCTTTGATGGGATATATTCAGAATACTATGGGTACCAGAAGAGGGGTACCTGACCCCCTTGGGCTGGTCGTAAAATGCTTTCTCTGAAGACAGGATGTCTAAGTTGAATCACCCAGGAGATTGGTGAGCAGTATATGAGAAGAGAAAAGTTAAAATGTTCCAAGCAGAAGGACATGCATGTGCAGAAACCCAGAAAGAAGAGAAAACATGGTGTGTCTGATCAGCTAACGCTGTATGCTCAGTATATAGTCTTGTGAGAGAGGTATCTGCTAAAACCAGCTCAGAGGGAATTATCCTGAAGTCACAGGATTCAAACCCAAGCAGATTCCGCAACCTGTAACACTCGTACATTACCTTCCATCTGGACTTCACAGTAACCTGGGAGTTTAAGGTCAAGCCCTCTTACCCTGGTTTCTTTTTTCTTGCCTCTGAAGGTGAAATTTGATAGGCATACCTCCAAGGAATGACACAGTAGCCTGGGGTTTTCTCTCTGCCCAGAGCGTGTGGGAGGGGGCTGCCACTCCAAGTCATCGTTATTGTCTTGCCCTCTCCTAGCAGCTCCTGCAGCTGTCTGGTATGGTTCCTGGCCTTTCCCACACTGGGTGAGGGGGAAGGGTCTTCATTTTAGAGAAGGAAAAGCAGAGATGACACAAGATTAGACTGTGGCTCAGATGTTTCACTGGAGACCACCCTCAAGACCAATGCCCTGGGTTCCAGTCCCACCTCTGCCACTGATTATGGTCTACATTCTCTTCAGTTACTCGAGGAAATAAAGGGAGTGACCAAGGTCAGCAGTGGTCGACTTGGGCATGCATGCTGACACCCTCTTCAGTGCCACTGACAGACCTTCACAGCTTCCTTTTCTGTATACCTGAGAAGCTACCCACCTCCCA